TTAATTATTCGGGTCATAGGTAGTCTGTTATATTGTTACAATCACGGGTGATTAAATCCACTTTGGAATCTTGTGGAATTAGTTGTGATCATCCAAAATGTATAATAATGTACAATATAGATGATAACAAAGCTCTTTTTTTTTAACAAACACGATGATCGTTACATAAATGTAAAAACGTTTTTACAATACGAATAATTATACTTAAGTTTTCTATGTGATCTGATTACAAATTTTTAAACTGAAAATTTTAGGTTTAAACAACATTTTATTTTGTTTTCTTATGAAGTATAAACATTAAAATTGTAGGCGATGTATTATTCATAAACGTTGAAAATATGTCAAAATTAAAAACTGCATAATAAACAGTTAGATAATAATAATTAAACATAGTCAAATTATTATAGGAAAATCAATTATCTCTAATGTGTAAGTTAAGTTAAACGTATATAATAAATAAAAAATTGTACAAATAATTTAAAACTCTATTGTTAAAATTATAACTTCTATTTTAATTCCTTTTTTTTTTTTTTTTATGCGATTTTGATTAATTTAATAATGTTGACGAAACCTAATTCCAATAAATTCGTTGAAAAAGATTTAAAATCGTCCGTTTCCCCTTTGATGGAAGTTTTGTTCATTATAATATAATATGATTTACCTATCTAAAACTTTTTCAAGACAATTTAAATATTTAATGTCATCCATTTTAAATAAAAATAATTAAAATCTAATCTACTGGAAATAGACAAACCATCTAAAATCATGGTTGCAATATTTATGGTCTGTTGTCTGAAAATGATATCTAGATATCAAAAATTTGACTAACAGGGGTACCAACGTCATTTACCGTTATGATAAACAGTAAAATAATAATATTCGCACTTCATAATCATTTGTCAATTATCAAATTGTAGTAGCATTAAAATCTATCGTACGACATATCCAATAATAAATTATTATAAAATACAAAAAACTTATCGCAGTGGTTAAAATATACATAATTTTTCAATTCCTGGAAATATTTCAATTCATACATTTTTAATTAGTCGAATATGCAAAATTACGATTTCACATGAATATATTCTCTTAACATCATAGTATGCACTTGTATGTAAAATAAAATGTATTTAGATTCTTTCAACTGTGAATTGATGACATATCTTACTCTTGTGGTTGTGCATACATCCATTAAAAAACATGTTTTTTTTATAAAAATCTGCACTCTAGACATAAGGAATCCATTAGTACAGGGCTCTTTTTTGAAAATTCGTTTATAAAGAGTGCTAATATTACACTTATTTGTGTACCATTGACAACTTTCGGAAAATCACCATATAGCCATATTTAATATAATTAATATATTTATTGTTAAAATTTAATTTTTGACATTTTGCGTCGATTTTCATGTGTGAAATGGTGTACGTTAAAACATTTTATTAATGTTTATTTGATTTTGAATTTAATCGTAACTATAATTATTATTAATAATTTGTTTAACTAAATTTAGATACTAATTCTTAGTTGCACTAAACTTGTCGTTATATATTGGATTTGATAAATTAACATTGTTGTGTATTTTAAACCAACTCAGTACTTAACTGCACCCGAGCAAAGCTCGATCTCCATGCACTTACTATCATTGATTGCCTATTTATAATTATTAATAGATTGAGTATAGAGAAAAAATTGAGTTTTAAAATGAGATATCTATAGTACTCAATACTCAGTACTCCTTTTTAGGAAAAAAAATTAAATAAAATACTTTTTGTTCCGTGTTTAAATACACTACGATCATGTGTTAAAATTTGCATTGTTAAATGCATCATGTGTTAAAATTGGGTGAAATTTGCATTATTTTCGTAAACACAAATTCGTATCTATAATTATATTTTGAATATCGAACTCATATATAATTCAATAATTATGGAATATTCTCTTAGTATATGACATAATTTATAAGAGTATTATCTACTTAGAATATAGATACTATCTCAAATCGAAGTCCGAGATTTTAATATTGCCTTGTGATATGGACATTCAAGATCGTGGTCAATATCTTCATAATTAGGTTTTTATTGCATGGATAAGTAAAAAAAATATATTATTATCCTCCAAGATAATAAACTCGATAAGTTACTGGTAATAAAAACTAATACCGAAAACCCGACATGTGAGTCATGGGTTCTGTATTTTATTTCTATTGAAATTTTTTAATAACCGCGTATTTGTGATACCTAATAACTTGACAATTAATCAGTGATAACAACAATAGCGTCACAATGACGGCAATTTCTAAAATACCAAACACCACAAACGATGTCTGCTTGTCCATATTGTAGTTACCAATCTAGTTTAATATCTATAATAATGTGATTGTCTGTGATTATACTATATTATGATAATATTATAGATATGCGTTATTGGATGCGGTCCTATTTCCGACAATAGCGGGCTCGTCGAAACAGCGGCGGTACGTTAATATCACAATTATTGTATTTAATTTAATTATTATTAATTTTGATAATCGTCGCCACCGTCACCGCTTATACTCCAGCGGGGGAAACCGCACGCCTCCTTGGAAACCGCGAATTACACGCACATTAATAGTGCGTTTATGTATTATGAATATAGGCAGGTTATAATACGAGCTGCTATACCGTAGTTGATGCCGACAATCGGATTCCGTTTCGTCTCCCATAAATCGCCCCCGGTAGGTAAACGCAGTGATGTACCTGTATTATATAATATAAAAGCGGGTTTTCGGGACCTGTTGAATCAATTGCATAATGAGTTTAAAAGGGGTCGCGTAGGTACCTATTATAATAATTTACAGGAGACCTTTCGATACAGTTTGATAAGACGAGAATGAATTGTAACAATAATATTATTATAGACTGTATAAAGGCAGCGATATTTTCCATGCAGACGTGTGCCATTATTATTATTAACAAGTACATTACATACGGTCTGTAAACCGCCCCCGCTCCCACATACCTAAATCTATAATAATATATACTCGTATTATACTCTGTATGGTACCAATATGGTTAGAAAACGATAATCAACAACTTAGCTCAAAATCAGTTGCATGACTAGGAATTGTAATGCCCGTGGCAAAATATTCTAGATTAACCGAGGACCAAGTGCACCATTCTAGTTGGGGCCTAATTTATCCAGATTGAAGCAGAAAAAAAGATTCATTGCCTATTTTCATACTTATAACTCAAAATAACGTCTCAGCCGTGATTTAAAGCCTCTAAATGGTACGGGCTCATGGCTCATTGTCCGCAATGCCATCCTATCGGTACGCCACTGCTCAGAATCTGTACACGCATCGAAATCAATGTTCGTGATTGGAATTTTGCTTAAACAAAGAGTATTATACGAGTAGTAATACGAATATTATATTAGCTGTATTACCCTCGACTTCACATGAGTGCAGTATGTAATATTGTAATGGCCCAAATTAGTACCTCCCGGGAACCTCCTATCATGAAACATCACCAAATTTTAACCTCCTCACCGTTAGAAAGCATTCCGATGTTCATTAACCATTCCCATCCCTCTCGCCATTAGAATATATTTCAACTTTTCTCAGAAACTTACTTCAGAAATCCCATTTTAGGCTTAAAAAGAACCTCTTTCCCATCATCTCCTAATCAAAGTATCACTATAATAATTTTATATGAAATTGTCCAATCTGATTTATCAAAATAGGCATAGATTTTAACTCGACACCACTTTTAACATTTTATAAACTAAAATGGAGGGGATTTTATCAGTTCAAGTACTATTTACACGTATACATCAAATATAACAGTTTATTGTAGGTTGAGTTAGAATAAAAGTTGATTCGATTTTCGAGATAGAATTATGAGAAAGGTGTTGGCGGTATTCCACATTGAGGTAAAACCCCTAAAATTTATTGAGAAAGACTTTTATTCCCTATTTTGAATGTGAAATTTTCCAAAATCCTGATACTTTTGATTTTTAATTTCTAACCTAAAGGTTATTATACACCTTTTTTTTTTCTTTTTTTTTTTTATAAATTTTACTTTAAAAATAGCAAATATGCATACGAACTTTATTCTCCTATTTTATCTCCTTAGAGTTGAATTTTCAAAAATTCTTTCTTAGCGGATTTTTAGGTCATAATAGTTATCTACGAGTATATACCCGATCCGTCTAGTGGTTTGAGCTGTGCGTTGGTAGATCTGTCCGTCAGTTTATCTTTATATATTTAGATAATTATAAATACTTCAAATTAGATAAAATAATATGTAATATAAAAACAATACAGACAAAATGAAAGGTTCATGATAAAAAAAATCATATTGCATGTACTTACCTGTTATTAATGTGTAACATTTTTCTAATGTACGAAACAATTCGATCAATTATGGTAGATACCTAAATATATATTATAATATAAATGAACCGTAGTTTCAATATCTCGTCACTTTATAATAAAGCCAATTTGAATTCATTTATCTATATTTACAGATAGAATACGGTAGATGAAAGTACAATTTAAAATTTGACTATAAATGGTTTAAAGTTGGACGTATGTATGCTCCATTTTTCATCATCAGCCACTTAATGACAACTTAACTTTAAAATTCAAATCTTCAAATTTAGATTTGATTTCATTTATATGATTGATGATTAGGTGTCTATATCAAAAATATATCCGAATAAAATTTCAACCGTTTAATAAACAACTTGGAACATTTCCTGTCGTGAAATATCGTGATATTTTGAATCTGCGATCGGACGGGACGTTGGGTCGTGTGCGGTCATTGTGTAGCAGATGGTTGACGAACTACAACCCTTGCGAATACCTTCTGAACTTTTAGTACCGTTATATCAACAGTATATACGGTTTTTAACTTGAATATAGAATTTTCAATTTTTTGACACTTTAAGATGACTATTTTGGAAAATTCATTATACTTTTCAAAAATAATTAGAAATATCGAAAGATTTCTAAATCAAGAGATCTTAAATCTTCTGGCGTTAGATTGTGATCCAATAACTATGAGGTCGTATGCGGACATTGCATGGCAGACAGTCAGGCAACTTCATCTAAACTCCTGGGACTTACCCGAAGACTTACTCTATTCAGAAACTTTATAGGATCTTATTTGTAGTATTTTAAATATATCCTTTGTATTGTATTACTATAAAGTTCGTTTATGATAAGGTCTATTTTGTAATTATTCTATGTTCAGAAAGTATTTTTGATGATGTTTGGACTGTGAATCCCAGTCACATTACCTCCTTCAGTGACGGTAACCACGGTGACACGCGCAATAGTTGTAGACTTAACGATGAGTTTAATAACGATGTTTAACGTGAATATAATATTATGGCATCGTCAAACGATAATTTCGAAACAAAAATACATATCACGTACGACGTCTCCACGCGTTGGATTTCATAATAAGTCAATATACCTACATTTAATAATAATCTAAAGCACGTCATTTCGGGTTTAAACAGCGTAATTTTGGCACGTTACGCGCCAGCTAAAGATAACAATATTTCGGTATATTATTTCCTATTGTGTTCTATACTCAGGAGAAAATCCGTCACGACCGAATGAGCGGAAACGGCTTGTTTGAAAATAATTCAACGCACGTCCATAATATAATAGTATTATATTCGGAGTGGTCTCGTCGAATGTCTCTAAATGACAGATTTTCGTTTGAAAGTGCTGTAACAATATATGTAGTATTTGTGTATATTAATATTTACCGCGTTTGTTTGTTTTCAATAATATATATATATATATATATATATTAATATATAGATTTTATAATTTTTATCATGTAAGTGAGACCTATCTATCTGTATACAAATAATACATCTTTTAAACAGCTCTGTAGCTCATGAAGATTTTTTTAAAAGTCGTCTGTTATAATACGCGTCATTATAATGTCCTATTGTTTTAGAGTAAATTATGTTCGTAGATAATTTATTTTGTTTAGTTGTTTAATTACCCAAAATATAAAATATGATTAACTTTTCAAGTTTACGACAAATTATCGTGTATTTTATTTCGTCCGTAATAATCTTTAAAATAATACGTTATTAATATTGGTATTATATGTACCAACTTATATTGAATAATACGATACAATAAATATTATCAAAATATACTGTCGTTTTGTCTAAAGATTATATTTTATGGTTCATTGCGTTATTCTCAAGTTCTGTAGCATTATCTTCCGTCACACATAAAGGCGGCGAAGTCAGCCGGAGAGCGGGCAGGCGATTACCCATGAGACCTCTAAGATTTTTGGGTCTGTACATTATACTAGGCTCGTGTGTCAGTACAGCACACATCTGTAATATTTGTGACATAATGTGCATAATACTTTAAGTATGCTAATAATAATACTATTATAGATAATGAAGTTATAATCATTTAAAAGCATATTTTAAGACATTTGCTTGTATGTGCCCTATCATAAGATCTATGTGAGCTGGTATTGGTATAATAAGGAACCACCAGGCCAAATTTTGCTATCCCAATTTACCCCTGGTGACATAACGCTTTGTCTATAATAAGGTATAGGTATAGTCCATTTATTTATTATCCTAGGTTTTTCCAACGAGATGACATAATTTTCAATAAGAATAATACATTTGATTAGGTTATATACTATTATACAGTATAATTTAGTTTATTGCTGATTAGAAAGCATCTATACAAATTATAGGGTACACTGTCCGTTAGTGTACAACAAAATAGTGGTCTGTTCAATAGAGTGGTAAGCCGATTCGGTCACTCAACTATTATTATAATAACATATAATATAGACTTTTTAGTTATAAGTCATCTATTAAAAAAATATCTCAATGTTTTTTGTTTTACATTTCATTATGTAAATGTTAGTGTCATTAGCGTTTTTCGATCATTTTCGACGCACCGGTTCATATTACTTTTTTCTACTTATAATATATACAACGTACGTTTACAAAATTAGTTTGAGTTTCTGTGACTTGATTTTTTACCTTTATAGGCGAATTGTCCAATACGGTGAGATAATATGCGATTTATTACTGAAGGAATAAACGTGTATATTAAATTTAAAACTATATTTATACGGTATATGTATATCTATACCGAGGCAATAAAATAAGTCTGTAAAAATATAAAACGAGACTCCGGAGGAAATATTTCGAAAACAAAGTAACTGCCCACCTTTGTATTATATTACGCGTACATAAATACCAGAAATGGTTTCCAAACATTCATTCGGAATGTAAAAAACAATGTTATCCATATTGTATCATATAATGCATATACTAAATACATTATATGTAGATATTTCTTTTTACCTTAAAATTAATTAAATATTTATGCGATCTTAAAGTGTTCAAAATACAATTCACGTCGAATAATAAGATTTACAAAAAGAAGAAAAAAACTTATACTGGGGATGAGAGTGGCCACTGTTGTAGGTGAGAAGTTGGAAAGGTAGGATACATAAGATTATTTCATTTATATCTGTAAGCAACGATAAACCAGTGTTTGATGAAAGACGATTCTGAGCGCAGTTCGGTAATACATAATTTGAAGTCTCGTATATTTTTTTTTTTACAATTTTCGTTTAAATATAATTTCAAAACGCTTATTTAAAAAAAAATCATCCGATGATTTTGGAAATTTCACCAAGTCTAGCTAAATCTAACATAAGTATTACCAAGTTTCACGTCTCTATGTGTATTTATAACCAAATTACAACAAAAAAATCTCAAAAATTAAAATTTCTTAAAGCTTAAAAGTGTCTCAAAAGTTTTTGCGACGATACTATAAGAAAGTGAATCAAAAAGGCAACAAATAAGTGATCTCGTGGTTTTTCGATAGAAAAATTTTTTCTGATTTAAAACATCGTCCGTGTTTTTATAGAATAATGAAATTGTGAAATTGTACGTTTTCCTACATTTTTTCCCACTTAAGTGCTTTTATTTAAAAATAGCTTCGAAAATCAAAAAATGACCTATTTAAAGTACAATCTAGACAACTTGAGCTATAAAAAAAGGTGCTACACTTACACATTGAAATAATTTTCCTAGGAAAAAACATGTCCACAGATTAGAACAAAGAACAAAGAAGAAAAGAAAATAAACACCATTGTAAAACCAATAGCGCTCTCGCTACGCTCGGAATCTCAAAATTTAAAATTAGAAATCAGTATATGATTGAAATAAACTTCCAATCAAAGCTTCGGGAGTATATTCCAGGGTCGGCTTCAGAAGAAAAAAAAGAATAATATTATAAAATATATTCGTTCTATTGTTCTATAGTAACAATGACGGGAGATTACGTCACTTGACCCGAAGTAGAACAATCAGAACTTTAGGATAATATTATATTTTACGGTTTATTTATTGTAGACGTTATTAAGAGAAGTTTTTTTTTTATCCAAATTGACGATATTTGTATTATTAATCGAAATAATATCGGAACAACTGAAGTTCTGAGCAATTCATTTCCCACGGTGATTTGAACAAATACCGCGGATTTGTCGATAAACCATTCGTGAAATTTCTTCGGAACCAGCGCGACATCAATATTATAGAGAAAAACACTCCGGAGACGCGTTAAAATCAAGTATAATATTAAAATACGAGGCCACTGACGTTTTAAAGTCCCGAAACTTCAGGAAACGCTGCGGGTGAATTCTATTATATACCGAGCACGGAAGATTTATTCCGTATAGAATTCCTTGTGGATGTAAAAAATAATCATAAAAATTACAAAAATGTGTAATAAATACAAACTATAATTAATGTTAAAGAAATATACCGGGTTGATACTGGTTAGTTTGGGTAAATAGTTTTCGTTTACAGATTAAAAATGTCGATCGATTATTGGTGGGACGTCATTATACAGAGTTTCGATTTTTATTATAACAACAATTATCATTTTATTGTTTAGCATTCATAACAAACCTTAAAATTCGAATTCATCGTCTAGGAAAATTAAAGAGAATCTTATAGACCAGACATGGTCGTATCGTTTGTATGTTTTATTATAAATACAAAAAAAAAAAATATATTTATACAAATTTCATTTTCTAGATGAATATTCTTACTCTACTTTCTTATTCTGTTATCAAGGTTTAAAAAAAAAAAAGATAATTTTGAGACCTCGTGGAGAGCCAATCAAGAGCAAGAATTAAACTATCAATCCATCTTTTTGAAAATATTAGATAAGCACTAATCTGCCTATCAGCTAAAAAGGTAAGGCCTGCGCAAGATTGATTAGTAGTCGTGCGGAGGATTTTCAATTTTCAGCATATAAGCTATGGATGCCGAAAATCGTCTTTTTACTCTAAATTGACTTAACTACCTTGGGGTAGTAGGTTCAAGAGAACAGGCTTATATTCTAATGAAGACCTGACAAAAGAGCAATAAGTTATATAAATATAAGTTAAATTTTTTACTTATTATTTCTAATAAATATAAAAAAAACTGACATATTTCATACGATGGATGGGCCACTGTTGTAAGTGAGAATTTGGGGAGGAAAACAGAGGGGAATTCAATTTATATTTTTTTACGAAATGATAAACCATTGCTAATAAAAAAACGATTCGGAGCGAAGTTCGGTTACATATGTTTTAAAAGACCGTAATATTTATGATTTTTGTCAAAAAGTTTTATTAAAATTCTTATAAAAACAGAAAAATTGCATTAATCTTAACTTTTTCATGTTGACCCCCAAGTACAACTTATAATAAACCTCCTGTTAAATGTTTAAGCAATTTTATTTAGTCTTACAATTTTATCTACAGATGACTTACCGAAATTACGAAAAAAAACTAGCAAAATTAAAATGTCTGAAAATATCTCAAAAATGGTTAAAAATTTTTGAAAACATATTACCGCAACTAGAAAAAGCAAATGTATGTCTTCTATCAACAATTCAGGTCACTACAAATATTTTTAACTGAATAACGACAAGGAAGGCGTAGAAGCAACGAACGATGCGACTATACCTAACCTTTATTATAATATTATAGAGCTGATATATTTGACAAACAACTGTAATAGCTGACCCTAGGAGTAAATCCGAAACGCAGCTGTTCTCATCACACTATATACCATGGTGGGAATTGTTATTAATTAGAAACCAAAAAATATTTGCATATTCTATGAACTATTTAATAAATGCAACGTCAAATCGAATATTATCACCCTGTAATTGTATAACACAAATTATGATTATAAATTTGATAGTTAATCTTTAATTTTTACAAAAATTAAATTTCTTACTCAATTAACTATTGTAGTCATTATTGTTTATGTGTATTATATTGTGTTATATTTATTGGAAAAATATCTCTGTACTTTTATTTCTCGGGTATTATTATAGTTATGTATAACTAATAATGTAAACAAAATATTCGTAACAAAAATTGTATTTAATATCTCTAGTAAAAAAATATTGTTAAAATGTAAAATAATAGAATTGTACACCGTAAATTTGTTAATTTTTTATATTTTGGTCTTTTTCCGGTTCGACAAATATCATGAAAACTGCTTGGAAACTCGAAAAATGATCTTCTTAATGAACAAACTGGAGAAAATCTCCTTTCAGAAAATGTGCTAAACTTCATAGTTCGGATTTAGATTTCTGGTTGACAAGTTGTTCACAGACAAAAAAAAAATTCTAAAAATCACATATAGATTTTTTACTACACTCTAGATCTAAAATTCTGAATTAAGAATATTTAACTATAGATCAATTAATAATTTATGTATCTCAGATTTATGTAACTCATGTATTTTAATAAAATAAAAAATAAAACTATACCTATTTAAATAATTTATCTATATAAAATATAATACTGACCGTATGTGTGTTGTATACAGACAACTACAGTAGGGGAATGGAATAAACTACATGTAACTCTGAAAGAAAAGTATTAAAACTAATTTTAGAATCCTTTTATAATTATGGCCTACATGCTTTACAATATGAACGATAGAACAGAACGAACAACCGAAACGAAGAACGATTGTATGAAAAGAAAATATAAGTAATTTAATTTATAATAACAAAATGCAAAATTAGAACAAATAGGCTATGTATGAAGAATCGATAATATTATAGTAGGTATCAATAGCTATAGAAATGTTATTTGTAAAAAACTTAAAAATAGAAAAACGCTCAATGGTCATCCGAAACACCGATAAATGGGTGTAGCCGACAGTGTAGTTTATTGTAATAAGCGTATGTAAGACCGAATTGGAACAAGAACATAATGAATTGTACATGCGATAAAGAAGTTCAGATGAAGTAGGGTTTGACAACAAGGACCTAATTGACGTATGAAAAACTAGAAAAAACCAAATCATATCAGATTGTCAACTAACTTATTCGACAGGTTAAACTTGTAATATCTTCATTATTGTATAAATCGCACTCAAATAAGATAGATAAGTAGATGCATATATAAGTACTATGGTTGCCCATCATCTTATAATAAAGTTTCTACCGAATGAAATCACCGAATTAGCTGGTTTCTAGATTATTGACGCCTGTGTGACAGCGTTAGAGAATATTTCGAGTTAATAAATATCGCAAATTTGATATGACGTGTGAAGAAAATTGACTTTTCTCACTGTGTATAGATTTATATTTTACTAATGTTACAAGAAATGTGCGAGATTTCTAAACTT